CAACTCGGTTAATTGATTAAAGGTACCAGAGTGTTTTTACGGCTTGATTCTATTATTGTTCTGTTATTTTTATTGAGTTCCTGATATTTGTCCCCTGTTATCAATCAATCTTGACTGTCTATTTAACATGTCAAAACATGTCTACAGCCACCACAGCTTTTTGTCATGACAATGTGTATGCACATGTATGTTAAATACATGCTTTGTCCTTGCAATTTCAAAATAACTTAAATATATAAAAATCTGGCATTTTCTATCCTTCCATCAGTCTGTTGAAACTAACAGCTAATAGCAAACTAACTGCCCACAAAAGGGTTTCTACTGTAATGAGAATAAAATGGGAGAATTTGTTGCTATGGCCAATATGTACTGTTCTTTTTTATAACTACAAGGCCCTGGTAATGCAAATACTACGAGGGTTCTTCAAAAGGTTTCCGCACTTTTTTAAAACTTTTATTATATATATGAAAGTGTGGAAACTTTTTGTAGACCCCCTTGTATATAATTTTAAATTCACAAAACTGTTAAGCAATATAGAATATAGTATGGCCAAACAGAGTTGTAGTTTTTTTTCGCTTTTTAAGTTCAAGTAGATTTCAACCCAATTACTAAAATATCATAACATGTTCATTTCATTTTAAAAGTTGTCTTCAATATTTTTGAAAACTGCAGTTTTTTGCTAACCTAATTCCTGGTAATCCTGTCATGGAAGTCCTGGTTCAGACACTTCCTGTTATAGGGTGACAATGCTCTTTCCCTGTCTATCATTTGTGCTTCTGCGTTGTCCCCCTTTCACATGCGCCCTGGTGGAGACTAGAAGCAGTTGTGCTAACACACAGAGTAATGGCATGGTCCATCATAGTCATTATCAGGAAACCGGTCTAGAACAATGATGTGCAGCCAACACTGGCATACAGACAGGAAGTGGTGAAGATCAGCAGCACCTCCCATAAAGGTGGTATTTTATGAAAAAACATGAATGACACATTAAAATTGTTTTATTATTGCAAACTAAATGTCATAGACCTAGGGACTTAGGAGCAATTTGCTCCTAGCTTGATAAAGGGCTAGACATAGTCCAAAACGTTGCTATGTGAAATTGGAACTTGACTGTTTTGAACTGCAATGCTTTTGCAAAATTAAGACCCGTGGATGTACAACATTTTATATGCTTGAGGTTCCTCCGAGTTGCCAAAGGAGATTTCATACTGGTACCAGACACTGAATAAGGTGTGTGCTCCTGAAGTACAAGCATCAACTAATGGTTTAGATCTACTTTCATATTTACTAAAAAATCTAAAATGCAATCCAACCTTTATAATTTAAATGTCATTTTTGTATAAAATGCAAAGAAAGTACTATGCAAGTAAAGCCTCCATATGTCAGCTCAGCAGCAAAGTGCCTGAAGTTTAGTTATTTTATTTATTTCAGGTACTTATATAGTGCCGTCAATTTACGCAGCACTTTACATATATATTGTACATTCACATCAGTCCCTAACCCTCAAGGGGTGTACAATCTAAGGTCCCTAACTCACATTCATACATACACATACTAGGGCCAATTTAGACAGGAGCTGATTAACCTACCAGCATGTCTTTGGAGTAAACCGGAGTACCTGGAGGAAACCCACACAGGCACAGGGAGAACATGCAAACTCCAGGCAGGTGGTGCTGTGGTTGGGATTTGAACCAACGACCCTGGAACTGCCAGGTGGAAGTGCTAATCACTTAGCCACTGTGCTGAAGTTATTTTCGAATATTGCATTCTATGCAATGCAAATGGTTGCAGAGGGCAAGGCAAAAAGTCCTTGCTTTGCACGCTTTGATAAACAAAGTGTGCTGTACAAGTCTGTCTGCAACATTACAATCTGAGATGTACTCCCGCCTTCTGCCCTTGGCCCATGCAGAGCGTGCAGCAGAGAAAAAACAGCGACAATACAGGGAACCTGCAATGCAGAGCAGGCAAGTGACGCTTTGATAGAAAACCATTTCTCAAAAATCCATCACTTGCAGAAATGTGACTTCTTTCATCTTGCCAGCTGTGGCATTGATATCCTTCCAGCTTGTCTCATTACACAGAGGACGACTTATCCAAGAGCTTCAGAACTCCAAGCCATCACTCCACTGCAGCCCAGATACAAATGGCAAGAGTGTAGTTTGCATGAAGTTTGAGATACTTTGATAAATACGTAAACATTTGAGCAGATTATCAGGTCAGATGTTGGAAATGAAGGTGATGTGGAGGGGAAAGATATTTGTAATAGAAAACGTTGACCAGTAAATTCAGCTTTCTACCTAACAATACCCACTAAACAAACATATGTATATGTATAGCTGCTGTATTGATATCAATAAGATAATAAAACATTTCATAACTTGCTACTGCGCTAAGCAAAAATCTCAATTACATGAAAATAAAAAAACAGCGCAAAAAAATTAATTGTAAATATAAATAAATAAAATCACAAAATGCAAATACAAAATATATAAAATAAGATATAAAATAATATCCAAATAAAAGTGCAAACAATAAAAGTCAACAATCTGAGGAGCGCATAGGAGCTACTAGTCAGGATTCTTCTCCAGTGATAGTTTGTCCATTGTCACTGCAAATTCTGGCTCTGCTGTTTTAGTCAGTAACTCAGGGGAGGAACCTCTGCCAGCAGCTAAAGCAAGTGAGTGTCTATAACAGATCGAATTATGTGGGAAATCCTTCTATTGGAAATTTCTTCTAAGCAGTGGAAACCCCTATTGGCAGGATATATAATATCCACAAAGCGTATTTGACTCTTAATCACTGAGAGTCTACTATATTTGTGAGTGCAGTATATGTTGGTTATCACGGATGGTGTTAATACACTGAAGTTTTCTGCATATGGCACTTTTTTCATTTATTTCTTTGGAGCACATTGGATTTAGGATATCTTCATTTTTTTGGATTGGGACTTTTATTGTTTGCACTTTTATTTGGACATTATTTTATATATTTTTATTTAAGTTTTGTGATTTTATTTATTTATATGTATAATTAATTTTTTTTGCAGCGTGTTTTTTTTATTTTCATTTATTTTGTTTGATGGTTTGTCAACAAAGAGCAGCAGCATTGGTTTAGGAATTTAATATTTTTTGACGCAGGTTTTTGTTTTTTAAAAATCTCAATTACAAAAGTCAGAAATAAAAACAATAAAATGTGAATAAATAGATATACTGTATATCTATCTATCTATCTATCTATCTATCTATATATATATATATATATAAATAGTGAATAAATAATTCATATAAAATAAAAGCTGACTTTCCAGCAGTCCCATAAAGAGATAATATTATGCACAGCAGAATGTTCAGTCCCACTCCAGGCACACATCCCTCTCACTCTGGCTGCAGACTCCCAGCGATCGCTGGCTGCTTCATAAATTCCCCTTTCAGACTAAAAGAAAAAAAAAAAGGGAAGCAGCTTTCCATTTAAAACATTGTGTGTGTTTATTCAAATATTCAGTACACAAACTGTTCCACTTATCCTAGAAGTCTAACGCGTTTCACTCCATCTGGATTTGCACAAGAATCATGGGGTGAGAAAGCCCTTAAATCAGGACTTAACATCATGCACCTGTACCAAGTAAAATAAGCAAAATATGTCTACAAGCTGAAAAGGAAGCTCATATATTATGACACGGATGCTCACCTGCACATGCCAGACACACGCCATAGTTTATATCTGGTGGGAGCATGTTGAGATGTTGCTAATCCTTGTAATATGTTACAAAAGACAGAAAAGGTTTTGTTCTAATCGCTTAAAAGCCAAAACGTCACTATCAGCCAGTCTCATGTCTATCACACTATACAATACTGACTTTGATATGTTAATACAACATATACTCAGTGTTACCTCGTCTTATTAATAGGTCACTGAATATTCATTATAAACCTGCTGTCCCACATCTGCATGTCCATGGAACCATACATGTACTGTATACATTCTGGACTATCTACAACAGTTTTTCCATTTGTCCACTCTGAACATATGAAGCTAGTCTTTCAGCATCATCACCCCAGATGTAAGTGTTGCAGATAGTCCAGGATGTATACATGCATGGACATGTAGATGCGGGGCAGCAGGTTTATAATGATTAGAGATGAGCGAATTTCTCAAAAATTCGATTCGGCTGATTCGGCGAATTCCAGTGTGAAATTCGATTCGATGCGAATTTCTTCGCTACGAAGATGACTTATAAAAAGGGTTTCTAGGCTTCAGAGAGCCTTTAAATTAGTGCAGAACACTGTACCTTTAATTTAAATGCCCTTGGAGATGAGGAAAGAGAAGGAGAAGGAGAAGGAGAAGGATGAGAAGAAGGAGAAGATGATGAGAAGAAGGAGAAGGAGAAGGATGAGAAGAAGGAGAAGGAGAAGGATGAGAAGAAGGAGAAGGAGAAGGATGAGGAGAAGGAGAAGGATGAGAAGAAGGAGAAGGATGAGAAGAAGGAGAAGGAGAAGGATGAGAAGAAGGAGAAGGATGAGAAGAAGGAGAAGGAGAAGGATGAGAAGATGGAGAAGAGAAGGATGAGAAGAAGGAGAAGGAGAAGGATGAGAAGAAGGAGAAGGAGAAGGAGAAGCAGAAGGAGAAGGATGAGAAGAAGGAAAAGGAGAAGGATGAGAAGATGGAGAAGGAAAGGATGAGAAGAAGGAGAAGGAGAAGGATGAGAAGAAGGAGAAGGAGAAGGATGAGAAGATGGAGAAGGAGAAGGATGAGAAGAAGGAGGGAGAAGGATGAGAAGAAGGAGAAGGAGAAGGATGAGAAGAAGGAGAAGGAGAAGGATGAGAAGAAGGAGAAGGAGAAGATGAGAAGAAGGAGAAGGAGAAGGATGAGAAGAAGGAGAAGGAGAAGGATGAGAAGAAGGAGAAGGATGAGAAGAAGGAGAAGGAGAAGGATGAGAAGAAGGAGAAGGAGAAGGATGAGAAAGAAGGAGAAGGATGAGAAGAAGGAGAAGGATGAGAAGAAGGATGAGAAGAAGGAGAAGGATGAGAAGAAGGACAGTTCTGTGACAGTTTTCTGTCTATTTCTGACAGATTCTGGGACAATCACTCCATACAGCTGTTTCAACCGCTGTATGGAGGGAATGTCATGGAACTGTCAGAAATAGACTATTAATGACAGTTCTGGGACTGTCCTTCCATGCAGCGGTTGAAACATTGTATGTATTTGTTTCCATAAATGGATCCATTTATGGAAACAAATACAATACAATGTTTCAACCGCTGTATGGAAGGACAGTCCCAGAACTGTCATTAATAGTCTATTTCTGACAGTTCTATGACATTCCCTCCATACAGCGGTTTGAAAACAGCTGTATGGAGTGAATGTCCCAGAACTGTCGGAAATAGACTATTTATGACAGTTTCTGGGACTGTCCTTCCATACAGCGGTTGAAACATTGTATCTATTTTTTTTCCAATATTAAATGACATTCTGCAAATACACTTAGAGGAGCGCTGCAGATACACTTTTTGCCGGCTTGGAATTAATCTTATTTTCATCCTACTTATCTTCTTCTTCATCCTCATCCTCATAAGAAGAAAAAGAAGAAGTAGGATGAAAATAAGAATAATTCCAAGCCGGCAAAAAGTGTATCTGCAGCGCTCCTCTAAGTGTATCTGCAGAATGTCATTTATGGAAAAAAATAGATACAATGTTTCAAGCCCGCTGTATGGAGTGAATGTCCCAGAACTGTCATAAATAGTCTATTTCTGACAGTTCTGGGACATTCACTCCATAACAGCTGTTTCAAACCGCTGTATGGAGGGAATGTCATAGAACTGTCAGAAATAGACTATTTCTGACAGTTCTGGGACTGTCCTTCCATACAGCGGTTGATAAACATTGTATGTATTTGTTTCCATAAATGGATCCATTTATGGAAACAAATACATACAATGTTTCAACCCGCTGTATGGAAGGACAGTCCCAGAACTGTCATTAATAGTCTATTTCTGACAGTTCCATGACATTCCCTCCATACAGCGGTTGAAACACTGCTGTATGGAGTGATTGTCCCAGAACTGTCAGAAATAGTCTATTTCTGACAGTTCTGGGACATTCACTCCATACAGCTGTTTCAACCGCTGTATGGAGGGAATGTCATGGAACTGTCAGAAATAGACTCATTTAATGACAGTTCTGGGACTGTCCTTACCATACAGCGGTTGAAACATTGTATGTATTTTGTTTCTATAAATGGATCCATTTATGGAAACAAATACATACAATGTTTCAACCGCTGTTTGGAAGGACAGTCCCAGAACTGTCATTAATAGTCTATTTCTGACAGTTCTATGACATTCCCTCCATACAGCGGTTGAAACAGCGTGTATGGAGTGAATGTCCCAGAACTGTCAGAAATAGCGACTATTTATGACAGTTCTGGGACTGTCCTTCACATACAGCGGTTTGAAACATGTATGTATTTGTTTTCCATAAATGGATCCATTTATGGAAACAAATACATACAATGTTTTCAAACCGCTGTATGGAAAGGACAGTCCCAGAAACTGTCATTAATAGTCTATTTCTGACAGTTCCATGACATTCCCTCCATACCCTACAGCGTTGAAACAGCTGTATGGAGTGAATGTCCCAGAACTGTCGGAAATAGTTACAATTTATTGACAGTTCTGGGACTGTCCTTCCATACAGCGGTTGAAACATTGTATCTATTTTTTTCCATAAATGATAATTCTGCAAATACACTTAGAGGAGCGCTGCAGATACACTTTTTGCCGGCTGAATTAAATCTTATTTTCATCCTACTTCTTTCTTCTTCATCCTCATCCTCATAAGAAGAAAAAGAAGAAGTAGGATGAAAATAAGAATAATTCCAAGCCGGCAAAAAGTGTATCTGCAGCGCTTCCTCTAAGTGTATCTGCAGAATGTCATTTATGGAAAAAATAGATACATTGTTTCAACCGCTGTTATGGAGTGAATGTCCCCAGAACTGTCAAAAATAGTCTATTTCTGACAGTTCTGGGAAACATTCACTCCATACAGCTGTTTCAACCGCTGTATGGAGGGAATGTCATAGAACTGTCAGAAATAGACTATTTCTGACAGAGTTCTGGGACTGTCCTCCATACAGCGGTTGAAACATTGTATGAGTATTTGTTTCCATAAATAGGATCCATTTATGGAAACAAATACATACAATGTTTCAACCGCTGTATGGAAGGACAGTCCCAGAACTGTCATTAATAGTCCTAATTCTGTTCTGACAGTATGCCATGACATTCCCATCCATACAGCGGTTTCCGGCAAAAAGGTATGTGCAGAGTTCCCTCTATTCTGCAGATACACTTAGAGAGCTCTGCAGATACACTTAGAGGAGCTCTGACACATACGCTTTTTGCCGCTTGGAATTATTCTTATTTTCATCCTACTTCTTCTTCTTCTTCTTCTTCTTCATCCTCATCCTCATCCTCTTCTTCTTCTTCTGAGGGATGAGGATGAGGGATGAAGAAGAAGAAGAAGAAGTAGGATGAAAAATAAGATTAATTCCAAGCCGGCAAAAAGTGTATGTGCAGAGCTCCTCTAAGTGTATCTGCAGAATAGAGGAACTCTGCACATACACTTTTTGCCGGCTTGCAATTTTCTTATTTTCATCCTACTTCGAGCTCACTGCAGGGACACTTTTGCCGGCTGATCGGCGAAATGTTCGATTCGCGCACCCGAAGTAGGCAAAATTTCGGTTTCGCCGCAAATCGAATATTTCCTGAAATTCGACTCGAATTCCGGTTCGCCTGGTTCGATTCGCTCATCTCTAATAATGATCATTCAATGACCCAATAATAAGACGAGGTTAACACTGAGTATATGTTGTATTAATACAGTATATTGAAGCCATTATTGTATAGTAATGATCAGGGGCGGACAGACAACTCATGGGGTCCCCAGGCAATAGGGGATCATGGGGCCCCTGTGTCCTTGCCCAAACGCAAAAAAGCCTATGAAAAAGGTACCAGGGGCATCTCATGGGGCCCCCTACTGACCCCGGGCCCTCGGCAGTGCCTGATTTTCCAAATGGTCAGTCCACCCCTGATCCGAACACGGCTACCTACAGACATTTCCATGCATTGGCGGCATGTGCGGGTCCAGGGCACCAAAAAGTGCCGGGGATTTTCGGCTTCGGCACACAGGAGCTGCTAAGTCTACATGAGGCCTTTAGGTGGCATTGTGGTGAGTATGATAGAGGTGAGAATGGTTGAGCAAGCCGTTTTGGCTTTCAAGTGATTACATGTTATTGAAACTTTTTCTGTCTTTCATAACATTTTAGAAGGATTAGCAACATTTCAGAGAGTTGTGTAATAACATGCTCCCACAAGCAGGGGCATATTTACCACAAGGCAAACAAGGCACTTGCCTTGGGCGGCACTTTTCAGGGGGGCAGCATCTCCCCCCAGAAGAAGGGATGGAAGAAGGAACACACGCACTGTGGGAACCAGATGGGATCCGAGAGAGGCTCCGGGCTGCTTGATGGTGTATGTAGAGCCTGACTCTCATTCCTGGGGAGATGTGAAGATGAGTGTCTTTCTCTCTATCGGCAGGGAAGGCAGGGGTAGTGGAAGGTTCTCCCAGGTAGGTAGCAGCGGTGTTGTTGGTCAATGTCAGGCTCTCTCCATCGGAGGGAGAAGGGGGAGGGGAGTCGTTGTCATGTAGGCAGACAATTTCTAGTGGTGCCTAGGGCAGCACAAAACCCAAATACACCACTGCCCACCAGACAGAAAATGCAGTGTGTGTCTGGCATCTGCAGTTGAGCATTCACGTCATATCATGTGAGCCTCCATTTCAGCTTGTAGACATGTCTTGATTATATTACTTGATCCAGGTGCATGCTGTTAGGGCCATGATTTAAGTCAACCCATGATCCTCAAAGTACAAATTTAGCGCCAGATGGAGTGAAACGCGTTAGTGCTTGTAGAACGGGTATAACAGTATGTGAATTAAATATACAGTATGAATAAATCACACAAAGCTTTTCATGGAGAGCAGCTTCTCCTTTACAGAGGTAATTCTGGTGCCTCCTTTTGCCCAGTATGGCATCTAACATAATTAATAATAACAGAATAGTAGGCTGTACAGAATCAGTTGCTCCCTGTATGGTACACACTTGACTTGCTAACAATGCCTGTAACAGACCAAAGATACGAAGGCTAGTATTCTTTACCAGAAAAAGTGGCAACTTTTATACATGTCAGAATTATGTTGGCCACAAGCCTCTCGTGAGATCTGGCATCCATATTCAGATCAGGAAAAATGATATGTCTATAGCAGGGGTCTCCAAACGTTCTAGACAAAGGGCCAAGTTTAGACTTTAGGAGGGCCGGACTATGGCTTTTGAGAGTAGAAAAGGCCCCGATGTCAGTGGAGCAAAAACAATGCCCTATCTTTGGTGTCGGTGAGAGGAATGGTGCCCCATCGTTGGTGTCATTGGGCCCCATCATTGGCGTCATTTGGAGGAATTGTGCCCCACATTTGGTATATGGAGGAATAGTGTCCCATCATTTACGTCAGTAAGGGGAATTAGCAAGGGAGAATGTCACCAGCACACCAAGGATCACCAATATGGGTCCAAAGGTTTTAACGAACGATCACATAGTTACAGAAAGGCAATGTTTTGGAGTCTCGCAGGACCCCTTCATCAGGCATGTGACGGCCCTGCGAGACTCCGAAACATTGCCTTGCTGTAACTATGTGATTGTTCATTAAAGTTAATTAAAACTTTTGGACCCATATTGATAATCCTCAGTGTGCTGGTGACATTCTCCCTTGCTGATTCAATTTCGGTTCCAGTCGATGGTCGCTGCACCACCCACTTATACACACAGCCATTTGAAATGCAGGAATGTGTGCGTTTGGATTGTACAATTTCAGTAAGGGGGATTATGCCCCATCATTGGTGTCAGTGGGCCCCTTTGTTGGTGTCATTGGGTGAAATTGTGCCCCATCGTTGGTGTCATTGGGAGGAATTGTGCCCAATCATTGGTGTCAGTGGGCCCCTTTGTTGGTGTCATTGGGTGAAATTGTGCCCCATGGATGGTATCATTGGGAGGAATTGTGCCCCATCATTGATGTCAGCGGGGCCTTTTGTTGGTGTCATTGGGTGAAATTGTGCCCCATCGTTGGTGTCATTGGGAGGAATTGTGCCCCATCATTGGTGTCAGTGGGCCCCTTTGTTGGTGTCATTGGGTGAAATTGTGCCCCATCGTTGGTGTCATTGGGAGGAATTGTGCCCCATCATTCGTGTCAGTGGGCCCCTTTGTTGGTGTCATTGGGTGAAATTGTGCCCCATCGTTGGTGTTATTGGGAGGAATTGTGCCCCATCATTGATGTCAGTGGACCCCTTTGTTGGTGTCATTGGGTGAAATTGTGCCCCATCGTTGGTGTCATTGGGAGGAATTGTGCCCCATCATTGGTGTCAGTGGGCCCCTTTGTTGGTGTCATTGGGTGAAATTGTGCCCCATCGTTGGTGTTATTGGGAGGAATTGTGCCCCATCATTGATGTCAGTGGACCCCTTTGTTGGTGTCATTGGGTGAAATTGTGCCCCATGGATGGTATCATTGGGAGGAATTGTGCCTCATCATTGGTGTCAGTGGGGGGAATTATATCCCATTGTTGGTATCAGTGGATGAAATAGTGCCCCAAGGGCCAGATAAAAGCAAGCAAAGGGCCACATCTGGCCCTCGGGCCGCATTTTGGGGACCACTGGTCTATAGTCAATCAAGCAACCTCCGCAGTCACCTGTTTGCAAGGACGATTGAGATGGATATTCCTGACTGACTATTCAGGCATTCTCCTGGGTCTAATCCAGGGTGTTGCTACAAAGTATGAATTTCCATGCCTGCCTGGTATAATTATGCCTGTCAATGTTCTGTTTGTTCCGAATAATGATCAGATCATCAGTACTTGTTTATCGGCACGTTTACACAAATGGCAAATATTTCACTTTATGCACGGGGTGTGAAAATGTTTTTTCCCTTGATGAAGCGCACAAGCAGAACCCAATCATGGGATAACATTTTAGAAATTTGATTTAAGAAAAAGTTATGTTTTAACTTTCTTATCTCCGGCGAGCCTGGTACATGTATTGTACAATAGAGTTTGCAAGGGAAATGATCCTGAAGAACAAGTGTTGGCATTTGGGAACGTTTCCATACATAATTATGAATGCTATTAGTAACGGTGTCATTTCTAACCGTTTTGCATTAGGTACAATTGCACTTTATTGTAGAACTTCAGTGAAAAACTTCT